GGTCGGCCGAGCGGACAGCACGCTGGACTTGTGATGTTCTGGTCCCGGGTTCGATCCCGGGCGCCGGCGAGAAACAATGGGCAGAGTTTCTTTCACCCTATGCCCCGTGTTACCTAGCAGTAAAATAGGTACCTGGGTGTTAGTCAGCTGTCACGGGCTGCTTCCTGGGGGTGGAGGCCTGGTCGAGGACCGGAGCCAGCGGGGACACTAAAGCCCCGAAATCATCTCAAGATAACCTCAAGATCTCAAGATTACTGCCCTGCTCGATAGATTTCAGGGCCCTGTTTGTTTTTATCTTAAGGTCTTGTATATTGTCACTAGCTTCATGACCAGTTTGGTTTGATCAGTCTCATCATTGTCTCACCTCAGGAGGGGAAGGTAATTATAAGGGGAAAGCACCAAGCCATTAAGACTACATAGCACTTGAAAGGGATCAGGATAAGGAGGGTTGAAATAACCTAAGCTAATCTAGCCCTTTCAGATGTATTTTATTGTCTCAATAAACGTACTTGAATTTGGGATCAGGATTTGAGATGGGACTGGGGAAAAGGAATGGTGCCCAACCACTTGAACGGTCGGGAGATTGAACGCCTATCTGCATGAAGCGAGACCGTCGCTCTACCGTCCAGCCCAAGTGGTTAGACGCCATACTCCAGACGTCTTTGTTGTTATGGTGGTGTTAGTACATTGGTGTCCCCAGATGGCAGGCCCGTCGCTGATGGCCTGCCTTAAGTGAGCGTGAATGGGTATTCCAGTTGTAAAGCCTCCCTTATACCAGTGTAGCGTGAGGCTACTAACCTCCCACTCCTAGACTTGACGTGTTGTGTTAATATGACTGATCTATAAGCTTATGTGTTGGGTGTTGTCTGCTGATATATATGGATTAGAGACTGAGGCCTGAGAAAAGCATGTAGTACCTCTATATCACTGCTACTCTAGTACTCTAGTAGTGATATAGACGTACAGTAAACCTATAGAGGTACAGGTAAAAGAGGTATAGAGGTACAGGGTGAGATGGATCAGGTAAACCTGATCTATCTCACCCTAACCTAACCTAACGAATGTAATAGACAATAGACACACAGGGGAGTGAGAACACACAGAGGCGAGGTGTCGAGAGAGGCGTGCCTGGGAACCAATTATCCTACTGGTAATGAAGCAGGTGAGAGACAGGTGTCCGCAGACGCCGTCAAGTGCCGACCTGGCCCCTCGACCTGGCACCCTTTGGCACCACCCTGATCCTCATTACTGGCACTCCTCGCTCGCTCCTACCTCTCACACACTCACTCCTACACAGAGGTTTATCTCTTGAGAGACGCTAGTAGTGGTGGGAGAGGTATAGTGTGTGAGATGGGAGGTTAGGGGGCCGGTGGATGGGGTCTCTATACCCATACCCTGGGCGGTGGTGGGGCCACATACCCATACCCTGGGCGGTGGTGGGGCCACATACCCATACCCTGGGCGGTGGTGGGGCCACATACCCATACCCTGGGCGGTGGTGGGGCCACATACCCATACCGTGGGCGGTGGTGGGGCCACATACCCATACCCTGGGCGGTGGTGGGGCCACATACCCATACCCTGGGCGGTGGTGGGGCCACATACCCATACCCTGGGCGGTGGTGGGGCCACATACCCATACCCTGGGCGGTGGTGGAAAGAGACACAGAACCAGAAAATGGGCTTGGGGATTGAACTCTATATTTCTTTTAGCTTAGCAAGTAACAACCTTGTGAAGCAAGGGAAAGGGGGGGAGTGCCATACCCGCCCATGGCGGTGGGTATGGGGGCCCATACTACCAAATTTATAATACACACTTATACATATATGTATGTATATTGTTACGTTAAATAAAGATACCACGGTTATACCCAGCTGATGGTCTGCTTACGTAACACGAAAACAAAAAGCCGTATTTAACTTCAATGTGATTATGGGCAAACAGGATTAAACAAAAAAAAAAGCAAAAGTTAAAACAAAAGTTAATTTAATAAAACAAACAAAGCGAACTTTAACACCTGCAATACAGTTGTTTTGTACAGGTAATATATGAATGTTATTAACATCAAACAAATTCTTAACACGAATGACAACTCAATCACTCAGACATTGAAATAACAAAGTTCAAAATACAAGTTGATCCTTCATCCCCAAAGACCAAGGTCAGAGGTATAATCAGACATCACCGTCACCCTTGGGACATCAAGGGACATCACCCTTGCATCGTGGCAAGGGAGATGAGGACGAAAGAGCAAGCTATAGTGAATGTGTACACCGTTACAGTGCAGGCCAGCCCCGTCACACACTGGTTGGGGCAGCCCGTCCTCGCAAAGAGCCAAGCTCGTTTATCCAGCCGCCAAACCCCCTGTTTATGAATGAAAAGCGGCTTACATACGACTCACAACTGATGACGTTCGAACACTTCCGGAACGGGTGCTTCCCTCACTTCCTCTGTTCGAACCACAATTCTATAAATGCTTCACCCATGTACTTCAAATTCAAATAATCGCATACAAAACCAAATCACCTACGGCTAACTATACATAGAATTTAAATAGATAATAATATTACATTATATTTGAGACGAAACTTATTTTTAAGACACAGTATGTTAACAATTGATGATTGCGTCTTGGGGACACGGCAGCCGCTTTAACGAGTTTGACCCGAGTACAAGTTGAGCAAAATACAAGTCATGAGTTGTGTGTAAAGTATTTTTCATTCATAAGCTAGGGGTTTGATGGGTGGGTTCATGAGCATTTGGCCACAGTTGATGAGGCCGGGTTGTGTGCATATAAACTCCCAACCTTTTGCGAGCATTTCAGGTATATTTCCTGTCTTGAAAGTGATCCAGGCGCTCTGGGGCCAGATTTATGAAAGCACTTACGCAAGCACTTACGAACGTGTACATCTTTCCTCAATCTTTGACGGCTTTGCTTACATTTATTAAACAATTTACAAGCATGAAAACTTCCCATTCAACTGTTGTTATTGTTATAAACAGCCTCCTGGTGCTTCGGAGCTCATTAACTGTTTACTAATTGGAAACAAAGCCGCCAAAGATTGAGATAAGATGTACAGGTTTGTAAGTCTTTGCCCAAGTGCTTTCGTGAATCTGGCCCCTGGAACACAAGTTAGCAGCACAGCAACGTCTCTCATACTTGTGATATTAGACTCTACATTCTTCACTATCATTCATCACCGTCGCTTGCTTGATTTGACCAGCGTCTTGAAGTGGTTACCTGTTCACTAGTGTAAATATCTAGACCAACCCAACGCATGCTCGAGGCTAAGCTAATAAGCTAAACTATCGAGGCTGATACAGTTACAATTTAGCACCGTTGTCCACCATGTCAAGGACGGTGCTAACTTGCCTTGACACTATGCCATGTCAAGGGGCTGCTTAATAAATGTTTGGTTTATTATATAAAAAGTGTATGCTGAAAACAGTTTTATTTGAAGGATATGGTTTTCTGTAAACGGAATTCGAGGGAACTCTAAAATAGTTTTCGAATTCCATATTTCACAGTATCGTCAATAATACAGCGTATTAGCGTAATGAAACCTAACTTAACGTTCCCTTAACCTAACCTTAACCTAAAGTAACCTTAACCTAACCTTAACCTAACCTTAACCTAACCTTAACCTAACGTAACCATGGAAAGAGAATAGGTAATAGCACTGATTATGTTGTCATTCCCACTCCATTCCCTTGAGCGGATCTCATCCTTGCCGACAGGTTGCTTACCAACATTACTGCGAAACCTATAATCTTAACACCATAAAGTGTACGCGGAGTTTCCGTACGATTTGAAATTTGTTGGTCATATAGTGTTAAAAAATGGCGTGTGGCTTAGGGCCACGTGCCGCAGACTCTTCCAACACGCAAGATGGCCATCAACTCTCAACTTGTGGTTCCAGGGAGCAAACCTCCTCTCAAATCAACGATGTATATCTTGCTGGAAATTCCAATATTTACAATTATTTCTTGTCTGGAATTATCAGTACGTCAGGGCGCCTGATTTTAAAGTTACGTGCGGCAAAATTAAGCGTATCCTAAATTATTTAGTTTGTCTTGAAGTGAATTAAATATTATTTTATCAAGGAATACCGTAAGAGATTAGACATGACTGACCTCAGAGATACTAGTTACCTGCCTTGCGTTCATTACAGCCTGGTGACTGATGTAGTAATCATGTTACACCTGTGTACTACACCTGTGTACCACACCTGTGTACTACACCTGTGTACTACACCTGTGTACTACACCTGTGTACTACACCTGTGTACTACACCTGTGTACTACACCTGTGTACCACACCTGTGTACTACACCTGTGTACTACACCTGTGTACCACACCTGTGTACTACACCTGTGTACCACACCTGTGTACTACACCTGTGTACTACACCTGTGTACTACACCTGTGTACCACACCTGTGTACTACACCTGTGTACTACACCTGTGTACCACACCTGTGTACTGGCCAAGGTTATGTGTCGGAAATCTTGCAAAATTTTCTTGATTTAAATTGAAGAAATCTTGATTTATTTTCACGGCAGACATTTTTAATCAAGGTTTCATTTTTTTTTTTACCTTGCGACATGAGGCTGTGTAATATATTTAGTTATATTTATTTATATTGTATTATAAGAACAAATTTAGATTATAATGTCATATTATGAAGACAATATCGTGAAGACCTTCCCTCAGGGTAATCAACTCTTCAGTAAGATGAACCTTCACAGACTCTCCAGTACCAATGAGTTTTTTATCTTTAGCCAAATAGATAACTTATCGAGAAAAATGTTAACAGTTCGTTAAACTTTGTTGCTTCCCTTGAGTATTTTGAATCTTGAATCTTATTAGGCTTCAACTTAAATTGTATTCCTCTGTAGTTAGCAATACTCCGGCTCATCTATTGCAGTCGTGTTGTGTTACTTCTACAGCCACAGGTGTATGTGATGTATGTTAAAGCTGGTGCCGGTGTCCCTGCAGGTGATGTGGGCGGAGCAGCAGGTGGAGAGGCGGCGAGTGAAGAGGGACGGCCTCCACGACAACCCTACACCTGGCGACGCAGCAGCAGCGGCGGCGGGAGCGGGGGTGACGGCGGGGCAAGGGGAGGACAGTGGCCGCCTGCCCCGCCAGTTCCCGGACTTCTCCAGGTTCTTCTTCTCCTCCGCCCCGGATACTCCCTCTCGCCGAGGCTCCAGGTGAGGCTCTACTGTGTCGACTGTGTCTCATGTGCCCTCCTCCTGCCTCGTCCTCCTCCTGCCTCGTCCTCCTCCTCCTCCTGCCTCTTCCTCCTCCTCCTCCTGCCTCTTCCTCCTCCTCCTCCTGCCTCTTCCTCCTCCTCCTCCTGCCTCTTCCTCCTCCTCCTCCTGCCTCTTCCTCCTCCTCCTCCTGCCTCTTCCTCCTCCTCCTCCTGCCTCTTCCTCCTCCTCCTCCTTCTCCTGCCTCTTCCTCCTCCTCCTCCTGCCTCTTCCTCCTCCTCCTCCTGCCTCTTCCTCCTCCTCCTGCCTCTTCCTCCTCCTCCTGCCTGCTCCTCCTCCTCCTGCCTGCTCCTCCTTCTCCTGCCTCCTCCTCCTCCTGCCTCCCTCCTCCTCCTGCCCCCCCCCCCTTCCATCCTGCTCGTCTTCCTTGCCTGAAACCAGTGAGAGATCAGACCGATCGCTCTAACTTCCGCCAAGTCGTTCTGATGTCTTGCCTACGCAAGTTCTTGCAAAATATGGTAATACCAGACTTATCTGACATCTGGGAAAAATGGATTCCCCTCCCAATCCCAGTGCGGATTGGGGGAACCATGCGCTCCGCAGCTGATCCCAGCATTATGCTGCAGCCTCAAGGTGTGAGCTCTGCTTTCAGGCAGCATCTTGTACCTGTCTCTAATGACTCGGAGAAGGCATCCGATGCTGCTTGGAGATACGAAATCCTCTGAAGCATTACATGAGTTTGCACTAAGGGATATAAAGATGGGTTATTTTTTTTCTTTCTGATAGAAGGTTTGAGTAATAGCAGGATACACCCCCACCTCTCTCTGTCTCTATCTCTGTCTCTGTTTCTATCTCTGTCTCTGTCTCTGTCTCTGTCTCTGTCTCTCTCTGTCTCTGTCTCTGTCTCTGTCTCTCTCTCTGTCTCTCTCTCTGTCTCTCTCTCTCTCTCTCTCTCTCTCTCTCTCTCTCTCTCTCTCTCTCTCTCTCTCTCTCTCTCTCTCTCTCTCTCTCTCTCTCTCTCTCTCTCTCTCTCTCTCTCTCTCTCTCTCTCTCTCTCTCTCTCTCTCTCTCTCTCTCTCTCTCTCTCTCTCTCTCTCTCTCTCTCTCTCTCTCTCTCTCTCTCTCTCTCTCTCTCTCTCTCTCTCTCTCTCTGTCTCTCTCTTATCCCCCCCCCTCCCTGTTTACGGTTCAGGAGGGGTGGGACTCCTCCTGGAAAGGTTGATGTGAGGCGCCATGATGTGTCCTGTTGCTGTCATGCCTGGCATAGGCCTCCACCTCCTTTGTTGACTCTCCCGGATTGTTTACACTTCCGGGAATGTTTACACCTCCGGGAATGTTTACACCTATCCACCTATCAACGGTATAGGTTAAGTAATAATTGTAATTAAGAAGCAATAAGATGCTTATCTTAACATACTAAGAAGGTTAGGTGAGGTCGGTGTTTTCTATTAAGCTGTTCAAGGTAAACTAAAATATTCACAATTAGTATGTCACATATGCACTTATTAAATACTCCAATATTGACTATAAGCAAGTGCGAGAACGGGTTGCATTGTTTGGCTGTGTGTATGGTTGGTGGTTGGTGTGTGGAGCCCTCCAGCGTGTTGTTGGGCTTTAGTTTGATAGGTCCCTGCTGGCAGTTTGGATAACTAATTGCCCCTATTAATTTTTATGGGTTGGGGAGCTGCTAGAGTTTTGGTCAATAATTCACCAGCGTACTGTACAGCTTCAGATTGTGTTAAATTATGCCGCAGTCATGTGTGGGCCCCCTTCTAGTGACAGGTGTGTGTTGGTTTGTGAGGCATCTACTACCACACCTAGTGACAGGTGTGTGTTGGTTTGTGAGGCATCTACTACCACACCTAGTGACAGGTGTGTGTTGGTTTGTGAGGCATCTACTACCACACCTAGTGACAGGTGTGTTGGTTTGTGAGGCATCTATTGCCTCCTTTCCCCCCCCCTAGTGACAGGTGTGTGTTGGTTTGTGAGGCATCTATTGCCTCCTTTCCCCCCCTAGTGACAGGTGTGTTGGTTTGTGAGGCATCTATTGCCTCCTTCCCCCCCCCCTAGTGACAGGTGTGTTGGTTTGTGAGGCATCTATTGCCTCCTTTCCCCCCCCCTAGTGACAGGTGTGTTGGTTTGTGAGGCATCTATTGCCTCCTTCCCCCCCCCTAGTGACAGGTGTGTTGGTTTGTGGGGCATCTACTGCCTCTTCCCCCCTAGTGACAGGTGTGTTGGTTTGTGAGGCATCTACTGCCTCCTTCCCCCCCTAGTGACAGGTGTGTTGGTTTGTGAGGCGTCTACTGCCTCTTCCCCCCTAGTGACAGGTGTGTTGGTTTGTGAGGCATCTACTGCCTCCTTCCCCCCCTAGTGACAGGTGTGTTGGTTTGTGAGGCATCTACTGCCTCTTCCCCCCTAGTGACAGGTGTGTTGGTTTGTGAGGCATCTACTGCCTCTTCCCCCCTAGTGACAGGTGTGTTGGTTTGTGAGGCATCTACTGCCTCCTTCCCCCCCCCCTTAGTGACAGGTGTGTTGGTTTGTGAGGCGTCTACTTCCTCTTCCCCCCTAGTGACAGTGTGTTGGTTTGTGAGGCATCTACTGCCCCCCCCTAGTGACAGGTGTGTTGGTCTGTGGGGCATCTACTGCCTCTTCCCCCCCCCTAGTGACAGGTGTGTTGGTTTGTGAGGCATCTACTGCCTCCTTCCCCCCCCCTAGTGTCAGGTGTGTTGGTTTGTGAGGCATCTACTGCCCCCCCCCTAGTGACAGGTGTGTTGGTTTGTGAGGCATCTACTGCCCCCCCCCTAGTGACAGGTGTGTTGGTTTGTGAGGCATCTACTGCCCCCCCTAGTGACAGGTGTGTTGGTTTGTGAGGCATCTACTGCCCCCCCCCTAGTGACAGGTGTGTTGGTTTGTGAGGCATCTACTGCCCCCCCTAGTGACAGGTGTGTTGGTTTGTGAGGCATCTACTGCCCCCCCCTAGTGACAGGTGTGTTGGTTTGTGAGGCATCTATTGCCTCCTTCCCCCCTAGTGACAGGTGTGTTGGTTTGTGAGGCATCTACTGCCTCCTTCCCCCCCCCCCCCTAGTGACAGCTGTGTTGATTTGTGAGGCATCTACTGCCTCTTCCCCCCCTAGTGACAGGTGTGTTGGTTTGTGAGGCATCTACTGCCTCCTCCCCCCCCTAGTGACAGGTGTGTTGGTTTGTGAGGCATCTACTGCCTCTTCCCCCTTATTAACAGGTGTGTTGGTCTGTGAGGCATCTACTGCCTCCTTCCCCCCCTATTGACAGGTGTGTTGGTTTGTGAGGCATCTACTGCCTCCTTCCCCCCCCCCTAGTGACAGCTGTGTTGATTTGTGAGGCATCTACTGCCCCCCCCTAGTGACAGGTGTGTTGGTTTGTGAGGCATCTACTGCCTCCTTCCCCCCCCCCCCCCCTAGTGACAGGTGTGTTGGTTTGTGAGGCGTCTACTGCCTCTTCCCCCCCCCTAGTGACAGGTGTGTTGGTTTGTGGGGCATCTACTGCCCCCCCCCTAGTGACAGGTGTGTTGGTTTGTGAGGCATCTACTGCCTCTTCCCCCCTAGTGACAGGTGTTGGTTTGTGAGGCATCTACTGCCTCCTTCCCCTCCCCCCCTAGTGACAGGTGTGTTGGTTTGTGGGGCATCTACTGCCTCTTCCCCCCTAGTGACAGGTGTGTTGGTCTGTGAGGCATCTACTGCCCCCCCCCTAGTGACAGGTGTGTTGGTCTGTGGGGCATCTACTGCCCCCCCTAGTGACAGGTGTGTTGGTTTGTGGGGCATCTACTGCCTCTTCCCCCCTAGTGACAGGTGTGTTGGTCTGTGAGGCATCTACTGCCCCCCCCCCTAGTGACAGGTGTGTTGGTCTGTGGGGCATCTACTGCCCCCCCCTAGTGACAGGTGTGTTGGTCTGTGAGGCATCTACTGCCCCCCCTAGTGACAGGTGTGTTGGTTTGTGGGGCATCTACTGCCTCTTCCCCCCTAGTGACAAGTGTGTTGGTCTGTGAGGCATCTACTGCCCCCCCCCTAGTGACAGGTGTGTTGGTCTGTGGGGCATCTACTGCCCCCCCCTAGTGACAGGTGTGTTGGTCTGTGAGGCATCTACTGCCCCCCCCCTAGTGACAGGTGTGTTGGTCTGTGGGGCATCTACTGCCCCCCCCTAGTGACAGGTGTGTTGGTCTGTGAGGCATCTACTGCCCCCCCCCCCCTAGTGACAGGTGTGTTGGTCTGTGGGGCATCTACTGCCCCCCCTAGTGACAGGTGTGTTGGTTTGTGGGGCATCTACTGCCTCTTCCCCCCTAGTGACAGGTGTGTTGGTTTGTGAGGCATCTACTGCCTCTTCCCCCCTAGTGACAGGTGTGTTGGTTTGTGGGGCATCTACTGCCTCTTCCCCCTAGTGACAGGTGTGTTGGTTTGTGAGGCATCTACTGCCTCTTCCCCCCTAGTGACAGGTGTGTTGGTTTGTGAGGCATCTACTGCCTCTTCCCCCCTAGTGACAGGTGTGTTGGTTTGTGAGGCATCTACTGCCTCTTCCCCCCTAGTGACAGGTATGTTGGTTTGTGAGGCATCTACTGCCTCTTCCCCCCTAGTGACAGGTGTGTTGGTTTGTGAGGCATCTACTGCCTCTTCCCCCCTAGTGACAGGTGTGTTGGTTTGTGAGGCATCTACTGCCTCTTCCCCCCTAGTGACAGGTGTGTTGGTTTGTGAGGCATCTACTGCCTCTTCCCCCCTAGTGACAGGTGTGTTGGTTTGTGAGGCATCTACTGCCTCTTCCCCCCTAGTGACAGGTGTGTTGGTTTGTGAGGCGTCTACTTCCTCTTCCCCCCTAGTGACAGGTGTGTTGGTTTGTGAGGCGTCTACTGCCTCTTCCCCCCTAGTGACAGGTGTGTTGGTCTGTGAGGCATCTACTGCCCCACCTAGTGACAGGTGTGTTGGTTTGTGAGGCGTCTATTGCCTCCTTCCCCCCCCCTAGTGACAGGTGTGTTGGTTTGTGAGGCATCTACTGCCTCTTGTGGTAGATTTTTTACCTTCCCAAACGTTCACTGTCTTATGTCACTCACACACACACACACACACACACACACACACACACACACACACACACACACACACACACACACACAGAAATCTGTAAACCAGTTGATTGGTAGTTGAGAGGCGGGACCAAAGAGCCAGAACTCAACCCCCGCAAGCACAACTAGATGACACTCTCTCTCTCTCTCTCTCTCTCTCTCTCTCTCTCTCTCTCTCTCTCTCTCTCTCTCTCTCTCTCTCTCTCTCTCTCTCTCTCTCTCTCTCTCTCTCTCTCTCTCTCTCTCTCTCGTTCTCAATCATAATCGCTGTAGATTTGAGTGGATATTGTGATCGTGGATGGGATCACCAGCTCTTGAGTTCCCCTGAGATTGCTGGGAACGTGGTGGCTGCCGACTCTTGAAACGTGAATACTTTCATGGAGAGAGAGAGAGAAAGAGAGAGGTGTGTGTGTGTGTGTACACAGATCACTCCCACGATCCCACTGTACAAAGTGGTGCGAAGGGTCAGGTAACCTCATGCGATTTTAAAGTCATGTGTGCGTGCGTGCGCGCGCGCGCACACACACATACACAGAGGCGTGCCCATGTACACACACAGACAGGCACATACGCGCAGCATTGACGTAGCAGGAAGCTTGAGGTGGTAAGACTAGGTAACGAACAATAGTGAGGTGAGGAGCCTTATATATATACATATATACACCCCGTATCTCACCGCACGGTCACCCATCCAAGTACACCCCGCTCCTGTGCCAGGTAAGTCCATTACGGGCTCACCATAGCCCGTGCTACTTGCAACTTTTTGTTCCCAGTAGCTGAATCTATAACAACAACAACATCGCCGCACGACTAACGCTCCGTCTCTCTTCCCCCCACCCCACCCCCCAGCAGGTTCCCGGACCCGCTGTACTCGCAGCAGTGGTACCTGTCTGAGGGAGCCATCGGCGGCTACGACATGAACGTGGGCCCCGCCTGGGCTAGGGGCTACACCGGCAAGGGCGTCGTCATCTCCATCCTGGACGACGGCATCCAACATAACCATCCGGACATCGCCCAAAATTACGTGAGTCTCCCCCTCCACACACACACTCTTACGTTTTCTTCCGGTTCGGCTTTGATTTTTTACCTTTTACTTTCTCAAGAGTTATTCGTTTTTGTTTTCTATAAATCCCTGTACTTTCCCCGTATTGGGTTCGACCCCAAGTTTTATAACTTACTGTAAATGTGTAAATATTAGGATATTTAATAGTTTTCATTAAGTCCGATATATATAATGTTTTCAATGTAGATTTATTCCTAATTAATTTATATTCAAATTCTCTTAAGGTATTCAGACTGTGATTTTAATAAATGTCACTTAATATTGAAGTGGTGGGTATGTGGGCCTGCGGGCCGCTCCAAGCAACAGCCTGGTGGACCAAACACTCACAAGTCAAGCCTGGCCTCGAACCCCATCAACCGGCACCCATGGTGGCGAAGCAGGACCTCCACCTGATCACTCGGCCTCCACCACTCTGGGGAGTAGAACAACTCCCACGAGGTAATTAATCACGAAGGTGGGACGGTCATTTTCTCGATCATTTTCTCCAAGGAGTGCCGAACCCCATCCAACCAGGTCACACGTGGTGCCATTTGTAGTTCCCCTCGTGGCCCAAACTAGGCCATTTAATGGAACCCATTCTGAGTTCCATTAAAAAAGCATAACAGAGCTCTATCCCTGAACCACAGTAGTGACGAACCAGTGCAAAACACCGTTGTCAGTGATCCTCCTGTTGAAAGCCGGAGAAGAGAGCAGAGACTGCACATACCTATTTGTATCACAGATGATAATCGTACGGAGGCTGGTCAGTAGTCGTCAAGCATTTGGGTTCTCGGCTTTGTGCGAATGGTTCGCTGGCGTGAGGGTCTTTTCTGGTACTTAGCGAAACTGGAATAACTTTATTTTTTTGGTCAGACATCAGGTACTCACAGTGAGTACCGGTTTGATCAACTATGTCCGGTTGATCAGGGTACTGTGAATACGTGATCAGCTGAGTCCGGTTGATCAGGTTACTCACTTAGATGTTTGTTCTAAGAATAACGTCGGCACCTTGCTCTTAAATTGTGAAATGATTAAAAGAAATGTGAAAGAAGGGTTTCTTCCTGAGCTTTAGGGAACTAAAAGATATATCCGAGGGAACTGAAACAACCCCACACAGGAGCACAGGGGACCATGGGTGACATGATCACTACGTATAAAGTTCGCCTGAGAATTGACCAAGTAGACGAAGAAGCAATGCTCAAATTGAGGGGAGATGGAGATACAAGAAAGAACTTGCTCGAGGGTAACCCAATGTATTAAGTAGCTTTAACAGTAAATATGGTATGGTAAATGAGACAATATTTAGTCATGACATTAAACTATTAAATAGTTTGAAAAGGCGGGACTCAGGAGCTGGTGGTGGACCGTGCATGCTCCGCTAGGTGAGTACATAGACACAATATAATGCGCTCGTGTGAGGGCGGAAGTTTTCCTTAAGCGAGAATCTTTAAAAATGGGGGATGGGGAATTGTTTTGAGGGGGTTCGAATGTGTGTGTGTGTGTGTGTGTGTGTGTGTGTGTGTGTGTGTGTGTGTGTGTGTGTGTGTGTGTGTGTGTGTGGCTTTATTCCATGTGTACTCGTTGCCGGGGGGAGGGGGGTGCAGTTTGGTCCTCGTTTTGGGGGATGTTTAGATTCTCTCTCTTCGCCTGAAGACAGAGAGTGAGAGAGGGGGATTTAGCTTAATTGTCATTACGCTAAGGAACGCAAGAAGGAATTAACTATTAAGACAAGAGCCCTAGCTGGTTCAGGAACCCGAAAACCAGTCGATTGAAGGTTGAGTGAGAAGTGGGGACGTAGGAACTGAACTCATGTAGTCACCATTTTGCGAGTACGTTGGATGAAGTGACTACACACACACGCGCGCGCACACACACACATGCACGCAAATAGCACGAGAAATAGCTAGAAAGTAGTTTTTTTCTGGCAAGACAGAGGTGGCGAGCACCGAGACAGACCAACGCGCACTGCAGGAGGTGCGGGAGGCGCTGCAGGAGGTGCGGGAGGCGCTGCAGGAGGTGCGGGAGGCGCTGCAGGAGGTGCGGGAGGCGCTGCAGGAGGTGCGTGAGGCGCTGCAGGAGGTGCGTGAGGCGCTGCAGGAGGTGCGGGAGGCGCTGCAGGAGGTGCGCGAGGCGCTGCAGGAGGTGCGCGAGGCGCTGCAGGAGGTGCGCGAGGCGCTGCAGGAGGTGCGCGAGGCGCTGCAGGAGGTGCGCGAGGCGCTGCAGGAGGTGCGCGAGGCGCTGCAGGAGGTGCGCGAGGCGCTGCAGGAGGTGCGCGAGGCGCTGCAGGAGGTGCGCGAGGCGCTGCAGGAGGTGCGCGAGGCGCTGCAGGAGGTGCGCGAGGCGCTGCAGGAGGTGCGGGAGGCGCTGCAGGAGGTGCGGGAGGCGCTGCAGGAGGCGCGGGAGGCGCTGCTGGAGGTGCGGGAGGCGCTGCAGGAGGTGCGGGAGGCGCGCGCACTAAACCAAAACATAATAATAATAAAATTCCCCGGTGATGTTGTCCCACAACTGGAACACGTCGCGCGAAGAGCGAGCGAGAGGGAGAGGGGGGGGGGAGGTAGGGAGGGAGCAAATGTCCCAGAGAAATTGTCATAACAGTAAACCACAGTCGCTCCAGAGGTTACAAAGGTCTCCCCCTCAATCCCTGTTTTACAAAGGAAACGTTTCAGATATATTTATGCGAGGCTACGATGTGGTATTTTTTTTTTAAGGTAATATTGGATTGTGAACTAGGGGTTAGGGGGCTGTGTGTAGGATAAGTATGGGGGGGGGGGAATGATATGGTTATCCTCTATATATGGTTATATAGGGGGAAGGGAAAGGGGTGTGTAGGAAATGGGAAAAAGGGGTAGGCTTGTGTGAATGGTAATGGGTCATTCCAATCGTCATTCTGGCCTCATATCCTAATACATATTTAGACTAGAGAATCACCCAACTATCAAACAGCACTATATCTATTTTTTATCAGCCATACGCTTATCATTGGTCATTCAAACCTAGCCAGAAATATCATCTAGATTCACACACAAAAATGAATCTGCTTCAATCGAGTTGTGTATATAACGATGTAGCAGGTCTACATGATGGGATAAAACGGCTAGTCAACAGAGAAAGGAGAGAGACGACCCCCTCCGTTGAATACCAGATATTAAGTAAGGAATTAGTCATAAAGAAATGGCTTTAATGACAGCCATTTTTAAACCATTTTCAAGTTATATCTATTTTAGAGAGGTGTGCGTGCGTGCGTGTGTGTGCGTGTGTTCAGAGTGAAGGTGATCAATCCCCTGAATTTATTGATGCTCACAGCCTTAACATTTTATATTTCTATAATGTCATGTTACATTTACTTTGTTATATAGCTGTCACATTTGATGCATCTTAATGTTTGAATTTTTATTTTTTATGTATATAAATAATGAAATTGTTGTAAACTTAGTCGATTATAAATTTATAACTATATATATATATATATATATATATATATATATATATATATATATATATATATATATATATATATATATATATATATATATATAATCTCAAATCAAGCATTAACATTTGTGACTAAAGATTGTCAGTTTCAATTCACAGGTCAAAGTGCTAGTTATGAGAGGGCTGGGAGAGTGGGAGGAGGTGAGATGGGTGAGGGAAGGAGAGAGGGGGGGGAGGGGTAGGTGAGGGGAAGGTGAGAGAAGGTAGTCACGTGGTAGGTGTTCCACTCCAGCATGAATGTTTGACGTCCACTCAGTTAGCCAGCCTCCATGTGGCCTCCATGTTGCGGCGCGCGCGTGTCGGGCCTCGTCCTCCTGCGTCCTCTCATGGTGTGCCTCCTCTTGACACTGCCTCGCTTGTTCCTCTTGTTGTTGTTGAATCCAAAGCAAGTATACCTGCCACTCACCTCGTGTGTTGATGCCTCTGTCGTCACTATACTGCTGTTGGCTCCACGTGTTTTTATTTGCGTGTGCTGGGGGAGGGGTTTGCGTGTGCTGGGGGAGGGGTTTGCGTGTGCTGGGGGAGGGGTTTGAGTGTGCTGGGGGAGGGGTTTGCGTGTGCTAAGGGAGGGGTTTGCGTGTGCTGGGGGAGGGGTTTGAGTGTGCTGGGGGAGGGGTTTGAGTGTGCTGGGGGAGGGGTTTGAGTGTGCTGGGGGGAGGGTTTGAGTGTGCTGGGGGGAGGGTTTGAGTGTGCTGCCGGGGCTCACCATAGCCCGTGCTACTTGGAACTTGTTCCGACTAGCTGAATCTATAACAACATACTTGGACTGATTTGCTTCTTGCTGGGTCGACGTTCGATCCCCACTAGTGGGATTGACTGGGAACCGTGTCCTCCTCTCCCTTCCCGGTGCTATGAAATCATACTGTCTTAGCGCTTTCTCTTGATAATTTCCTTCCTTGTGCCGAACGAAAGTTCTGAGGAACTGAACGTGTGCCGGCTGGCACGGCAGGTGGGGGGGGGGGGCACGGCATTGGGGGGGGGGCACGGCATTTGGGGGGGGGGCACGGCAGGTGGGGGTGGGGCACGGCAGGGGGGGGGGCGGCTCTTGAAGCGCTTGAGGAAGAAAAATATAAAAATATTCTCAATGGACGAAGAGCAAGATCACACACTTTTAAATTCCTCTCATTCGTAATGGAAAGTTGAATATATTTGGTGTAGACTTTTTGGAATGACTAAATGGCCTCATTAGCTCGTTCCTCGTGTGTGTGTGTGTGTGTGTGTGTGTGTGTGTGTGGAACTAGCGAGAACGCTCGAGAACCGATGAATTCAATCCCATAAATGCTTGAGTGAACTGGTCGGTGGAGTGACGGGTCTCGTTTCTTTGCATGGTCGGCGTTCGATCCCCCGATAGTTCCGTTAAATTGAGCACCGTTTCTCATGCCCCATCCTCACATCCTTTCCAAGTGCTGTATAGGCATACAAACTCGGCACTTTCACCTCATAATTATCTTACCTTGCTCCCCGTGTATCGTGAGGTATGTTCAGTCTTC